ACTAGTTCGTCTCCCAAAACGACACCGCGCTCAACCAGTGAGCGGGAACCAGTCTCCACATGGGATCCGAACCCTCGGCGGGAGCGCCGCCGCGCTCCTAAGCGGCGCACTCTCCAGTGCGCCACCAGGCCGGCCCTAAAGTCTCCTGTTTAATAAACAACATGAGAGAGAGAGAGAGAGAGAGAGAGAGAGTGTGTGTGTGTATTTGTGTGTGTTAGTCCCAATGGGTAAATTCTTGAATAGTTATGTGGTGGGCATCCTATATGTGGTTACCACACACAGATAAAGAGCTATGTCTTTCAGGGCCGGCCCGTGGCTCACTCAGTAGAGTGTGGTGCTGATAACACCAAGGCCACGGGTTCAGATCCTATATAGGGATGGCCGGTTTGCTCACTGGCTGAGCATGGTGTTGACAACACCAAGCCAAGGGTTGAGATCCCTTTACCGGTCATCTTTTTAAAAAAAAAAAAAAAAAAAAAAAAAAAGAGCTATGTCTTTCATTTCTAAGACGGCATTTTATCTGTGTAGGTTAAAAGTCACCAGAGACCATTCAACAGACCACCTTCATATTAGGAATCTGGAATTTTAAGGTACGTTGCTAAACAGTTTCAAACATTTTGCAACAACCTATCATGCCAAAAACATAATTACTCATCTTCTAACACATGAAGTTTAGAACTGGAAGTCAAGAAGCAGTTAGTCCTAATAAAATATGCATCATCTGCCAAAAGAACAACAAATGTCCTGGTTATTTATGCTCCTTTTTCCATTTCACACTCTTCCAAGCAATGAACGAGACATCATAAATCCCAGTGCTTCCCACTCATAGGTCTTACATCCCTATGTCATCTGTGCACACACTGGATACCTTACCCTTTTTGATTAACCAAAGTCACTTCTATCTTGACTTATAATTGGCTGTAAACAAATCTTAGAATAGGTTTTTTTCTGTTGTTTTTTTTTTTGGTGGGGGGAGGTGTGTAGTTCTGATTCCCTTTGAAAGTTCAAGTCAAGAATGTTCATGAGGATCATTTCATTGATAAAACCGACATCCAGAGAGGCTGAATGACTTGCCAAGTTTAAAATGTATTAAAGTCCCAACTTGGTCCAGAACTCAGGTTTCCTGACCCCTCACACTCTTCTGCCATTCACTACAAAACCTTCCACTACTAAGGTAAACCAAAGTCACTTCTGAAATTTATTTTCAAAATGCAAGAATTTCACATGCTAAATCTCTGATGTATAGGTGACTCCACAAATGTAAAAATGATTACCAAAATCATCAAAATTATCAAGGCTGTTTACACAAAAACTAGAATATTTTGTTTTCTTCAGTAAAACCACCATCAAAACTGAATAAAAACTGCATAAACTTAAAAATTGCTTGCAAAAACATACACAACCAGACTCTTTAAATAAAGGCATAACCAGGCTTCTGGTCAAGATGATGGAACAGACAGTCCCCAGAGTCACTCTCTCCCACAAATCAACCAATTTACAACTATTAAAGAGCAACCACAGCCAAGCTGGGGCTGCTAGAGGTCAGGGGAAGAGGAAGAGAGACCTATGGAGTTCAGGAGACAGGAGAAGCCATGATGAGAGAAAGGACTGCTCCCACCATTTTGAGCCCCGGCCGCTTCAGTGCTGGCCCTGGTGGGCGCACAGAGCAAGACCTGGAAAAAGCCACTGCTGTGCCCTTCAAATGAAGTTGTTTGGAGGCTGCAGGGGAGAAGAGGGCCTCGGTGGCCCCAAGGTCAGCAAGACCACTAACAGGGTTCCCATGGACCCACAAAGGAGGGAGGAATCACATACAACTGAAAAAAGGAGCCACTCAAAGGCTGGTGAGTCATTACAAGGGAACAGTGCATGACCGTCCCATGGGAAGTGTTTGGAGTGAGGGCAGTGGGGGAGATGTGCCCACCGGGGGGACACTGGGTCACAGCATGGACAGCTGATCTGTCCCCCAGTCAGCACAGGCCCACTCAATGGAGACTGATCAGGAATACAGAACTGCAGGGGGAGCAGTTTGCTGAAAAGACTCAGGCCCAGATCAGTGTTTTTACACAACCCAGGTGTACCAGACCTCACAAAACTGGGAAGTACATACAAGGTCAACAATTAAATGCTGAGCTGCACAAAAAGCCTTCCCCAGGGAATCAGCAGCAAAGCAGCAATTTAGCTCAACCATAGGGCTCAAGTGCTGGTCCCCACAGGAAGTTCCCCCATTTTAGAAGTAAGCAAAGGGGCCGGCCCGGTGGCGCACTGGATAAGTGCACTGCTTGGGAAGCGCAGCGGCGCTCCCGCCCGAGGGTTCGGATCCCACATGCAGACCAGTTCCCGCTCACTGGCTGAGCGAGGCACGAGAGCAACAACACCGAGGGTTGCAATCCCGTTGCCGGTCCCCGGTCCAGTGCGGGGGCAGCACTGAGGGTTGCAATCTGTTGCCGGACACGGAAAAAGACAAAAGACAAAAAAAAAAAAGAAGTAAGCAAAGGACAGCAAATTAGTTCCAGTGCAGAGTTTAGGTGTAGGGAACAGTGAATAATCCAACACAGATGAAAGAAAAAACAAAATACCAACAAATCAGAGACAAAGTTTGATATTAACTAGTAAAGCTCTAATACCACCAAAGAACACCTATAAAACCTGTAAGGACTGGAAGCCCCTCTGAGCTCCCAAGCCAGGGATGGGGGAAGGCTGTAGGCCTCAGCCACGCCCCTCCACCTGCAATCTGCCCAGCAATGACCACTGAGCCATAACAGGAAACACCCCGGGCTCCCAAGCCAGGCCAGTGGGGACCAAGGGCCTCAGCCATGACCCCTGACATCCTTAACCAGCCCAGTGATGACCACCAAGCCACCCGAGGAAGTGCCCCAGGCTTCCAAGCCAGGGTGATGGGGGGTCCAATGGCCTCAGCCACACCCCCCGTCATCTGCATCCAGCCCAGCAACAACCAAGCAGCAGCTGGAAGCCCTCTGGTCTCCCCTGCCAGAATGAGGGAAGTGCCACAGGCTCGACCAAGCCCCCTCTTTCCTCCTCCTCCCACCCTATTTTCCTTTCCCTTCCCCTCTCCCACTCCCCCCCAACTCTCCGCAACATCTTAGAATGTAAAAAATAATAATATTAATAAATCTTAAAAATAATAAAAACTAACTAAAAAAAAAAAAGCATAACCAATGGATGTTAATGGAGAAGAAACACAGGATAGATTTAATTCTTCAGCAGCAGCAAAAAAAAAAAACAAAAACTACAGGGTATCACTGACTCCCCTAAGAAAAGGAAAGCACAATTGACAAACACCGTTTCAAAAATAAAGTAGATCAAAATTTTGGAGCAACGTTAAACAAAATCCACCAATAATGGTAACAGAAGCGTTACCTAAACTTGTGATGTATAAATTCCCAATATGAACTTGGCCTTGTCTCATTTCCCAAATCTGCTAACTCCCTGGTTCCTCTCTGTCAATCTCCTCCACCCAGAACCCAGAGATTTCTGTATATAAACACTGTTTAACTGAATGCAGTAAAACTGAATCAACACAAGGTGTGTTTTTTGTTTTTTTATTTTTAATCAAGTTAGCATCATTGCTACATCCTTCTCTTCCATGGAACTTTACATTAGAATTTATTAAAATCAAATCAACAAAAGCTTAGTTAGGTACTGTTAGCCTGCTATTGGCGAATACTAACAGCTTCTCAAAAAGGAGTCATAAATTAAAATGAGAATGATTAAAAATCCTAACATATTCCATTGGATTGCATAGTTGAGTATGGTTTAGATCTCAGCTCTAGAAGAACAGCAACCTTTTGAAGTACTGATTTGATTTAGAATACTGCTTTCTAAGATGAACTTTGGACTCTACTTCCAATTGTACCGACTAATTAAACTTTCAATTTATTGATCTCCGAATTTCAATTTGCAAAAGTCACAGGTACAACCCTGCAGAAAAACAATTACTAAGATCAAGAATATATGCTTCACCGCAAGGGACCATTTAAATATTAAGATCTACAGAAGTGAGTGTCTTTCAGAAAACCTCTTACCAAAAAAAAAAAAGCAAACTACATGTAGTGGGTTGAACTATGTCCCCCCCAAACTCACTGATGCTTGAATTGTGTCCCCCAAGTATTATGTATTAGAAACTTGGCCCCACTGTGACTGTTAAGAGGGTGGGAAATCCTATTATGGTAATTGAAAAGTGGAGCCTTAAAGAGACAATTGGATTATAAGACCCTGTAGTAGTGAATGGATTAAAAATGGTGGTCAAGGGTATGGTTCTGAGGGCCTTAAAAGAAGAGGAGAGTCTGTCTGTCTCTCTCTCTCTGCTTCCACCATCTTGCAATGTGACACCCCTGGGTCACTGTTGCCACTACCAGATGGACTCTGGACTTCCCAGCCTCAGAAACTGTAAGCAATAAATTTCATTTTCTTTATAAATCACTCAGTTCCGTGTACTTTGTTATAAGCAACTTAAACAGACTAATACACTACACTTATTAAAAAAATAATTGGGGAATTATTTATCTTACCACAAAAATATGTCACCTAATAAAATTTTCTGATAAGGTTTCTTTATCAGAATAGCATTTTGAACTGGGAAGAAATAAAGACTGTCTAATCAAAACTCTTGCTGTATAGATGGGGCACCTGATATCCAGAAAGGTTTCTGCCCCATTAAAATGTTGGTTTATTTATAAACAATAAGGATATGTATCTAGAAAGGCAACTAATGAATAAAACAAGAAATAAGAATATATACAGTTCAGTGATAATCTACCATTTGAAGTAATTTCAAAAGGAAATCACATGATATAAAGTCTTTGGCAAACACATCCCAAGGTTCCTGCCTAAGATGACTCTAAAAAAGCCATATGTTAGCACTGGTATGATCCCAAGTCTCTTTATTCAAGGAAGCTGCTTTCTAGTACATATGTTAAAGACAGCTGGTTCTCTTACATCTAGTTATGCTAATCAAATGGCTTTACCATATAGTTTCAAAATACAAAACATCTTAATGACACAAGATTTTACTTAAATGATATTTTCTCTTAGATTCTTTAATAATGAGTATTATCCTAAATGATTTGGGGCTGAAGATTTGTTCACTTGGATCATTTTCTTACACTGTGATAGATGCTTGCTTGCTCTGGATAACTCCCGAAAGGCTGTCAAGCAGTTGTATTTGAAAATGTCAGTAACGTGGGTGGCAAGAGTTCCGGAAGCAATTCAGACGGTGGAAGAGGCCACCATCCAAACCCAGTAAGAGTTGCTCTTCAACAATGCAAAGTGACTACCAGTCAATCAAGAGAACAAATGGTTTCACAACAGTAATTCTTCCTTTTGTCCAGAAATAGAGTATACTAAGAAATAAAAAGGAAAAAACACAACTGGTTTGGAGAAATAAGAGGTATAGACAAATAGGATGATACTATTAAAGTAACCTTCCCACAGCCAGCAATTTACTGTCTCATTTTTGCTCTAAGAAATAATCCTGACAATACTAAAAACAGATTTCTTTTTTCTAAATCAGAGAAATTATATGTGGGAAACTGGCATTTAATTCATACTAAAAAATGGTTTCAGAGTTGACCTATTAGTTTACAATCAAGGGGAAAAGTTCCAAGAAGTTTGGCTATTTCTTACACAGGTAAAATAAGATCACATTACTTACCCTGACAACTTATGGTTTCAGAGTTGACCTATTAGTTTACAATCAAGGGGAAAAGTTTCAAGAAGTTTGGCTATTTCTTACACAGGTAAAATAAGATCACATTACTTACCCTGACAACTTGCCGAGTACTTGTAATGAAGGCTTTTCTTATACTCAATTCAGTTGCATCGAGGTTAAATTTTCTAGGATTTGCTTCAACTATGCGTGGGTCAAAAAGTCAAGGTCAATCAATTTCATCAAAGGCCTAACAACATCCTGTTAAACTACAGAATCTCTCACGTGCAAGCAATAAAATCTGACCCAAACTTTCTGAAAACATAGTCAACTTGATATTTCTCAAACTTTCTCTGCCCACAGCTATATGAGGATTCCTTTGACTCAAAACAGAGATAACCTGCCAAGTTAACTAACACAGCCCCTGCTGACTTGGTTCACTACAAACCAATAGCTCTGTGGCCACGGCAGGGCTGGGCTCACTTTATGCTTGCCAACACTTGTATCTACCTTTTTTGACTCATGATCACTTCTCCCACAACAGCCTTTGCAAATCCTTTCCAACTGCCATTCTAAGCCGTCTCCCCTTATGCCAACATACTAACCCTACTTCTTAATCTAGAGAGAGCAAGCCTTCTTCAGGGAAGTTGCCCCTGACCCCCTTGCCCCCAGTATAGTCCTACCACCCCATGTCAGACACTTGCATAGCTCTCTGTACTTCTCTTGCGAAGTCTACAAGTACGCATTTGTGTTATTACCTAATATCTTCCCATACCCCCGCCACCGCCCAAGTTCCATGAGCTGTGGTACTGCTTTGCTTATTAATCTATTCTCAGCAACAAAATGCCTGGCACATAGTATACTCAATAAATTTTTGTTGAATAAATAATGAATATCTATTAAAACTTTTGTCCTCTTTATCTCACAATTTCTTTATCTCCCCCAATCTTTTTTCCTTCCCTTCTGTCTCAAGAGAAGAAGTATGAATATCTATTAAAACTTTTGTCCTCTTTATCTCACAATTTCTTTATCTCCCCCAATCTTTTTTCCTTCCCTTCTGTCTCAAGAGAAGAAGTATGAATATCTATTAAAACTTTTGTCCTCTTTATCTCACAATTTCTTTATCTTTTTTCCTTCCCTTCTGTCTCAAGAGAAGTATCTCCCTGTAACGGTGCTTTTGATTCTGCCCCCTCATATATTTTATTCCACTAATTTTAGGGAACATACTTGCCTTTTAATAATTTAAAAGGTACCTGGGGTCATTATGAATAAGAGAAATTATGTGCAACACATGTCAACTACATACGAACCTATGCTCAGTATGGAGTGATCCTGACAAAAGCTGGTTTCCTTGATGTTTTACCTCATTTAGGGAAAAAAACAAAACAACTCAGGATATGCAACTGGAATGTCATCTACCTAAAGTTTTGACTAAATGGGATTTCCAGTTTTAAAACAGGCCATATAAATCAGTTTTTACAGTTCTCTGTTTCATCAGTCAGATCAGCGGACTTATTTAACATCAATAGCATGAATTAGCATAACAGATCTGTTTTTACTAAATGCAGCTCTATGGTACACAAGGCCTCTCCAATAGACAGTGGCATTGTAACATCACTTGTTAAACAGGAAGAAGATAGTCTACGAAAAAAATTTTCTTTGGATCTCTAATTACCAAAATATAACATTGGTTTATATATACCTCTATGTAATAATGATTGCTAACACTTTTATAGACGCTGTGTGCCAGGAACCATTCTAAGCTCTTTACATATGTAATCCTCATGACAATCCTATGAGCTAGGTATTTTTATTATCCTAACTCTCTTCTGAAGAGGATACTGAAGCACAGAGAGGTTAAAGAGATGTGCCCAAAGCCACATAGCTAGTAACTGGTTGTGATACTGTAACACAATAAATATATATTCGGTCTTTGCCCCTGGTTCCTGGCACACAGCTCCTAAAACCCTTGGAATCTCTTAAGTGTATGCTTATGCATTTTGTATATTTATAAGATGACTGATGGCTGGGGGCTCCTGGAAAGTCTCTGGATGGGGACTGGTTGCCGAGGGAACCAATCACATGATTAGAGGGTTGGAACTTTCAGGTCAAAGGGGCTGAAGGTTGAGTTGATCAATCACCAAAGGCCAAGGCCAAGCATGCCTATTGTATTAGTCAATTTCTGTTGCTTATAACAAAATGCATGGAAATGGGTGATTTATGAGAAAACAAAACATATTGCTTACAGTTTCAGAGGCTAGGAAGTCCAAAGTCCAGGGAACACATCTGGCAGTTTTCTTTGGTGGTGACTACGGTGATGGCAGTGTACTACATTGCGAAAATGGCGGAGCAGAGAGCAGAGACTAACCTCTCATGTGCCCTGCTTTTAAAGCCCTCAGAACCATGCCCCTGACCATTTTTAATCCATTCACTAGGGCATGGTCCTACAATCTAATCACCCCTTCAAGGCTCTGCCTTTTAATTACTGTAATAAGATTTCCCACCCTCAACAGTTACAGTGGGGATTAAGCTTCAGTGAGGTGGGGGGGAGGGGGGTGCATCCAGCCTACAGCACCTATGTTATAAAGCTTCCATAAACACCCAAAAGGACAAGGTTCAGGGAACTTCCAGACAGANCTGCTTTTAAAGCCCTCAGAACCATGCCCCTGACCATTTTTAATCCATTCACTAGGGCATGGTCCTACAATCTAATCACCCCTTCAAGGCTCTGCCTTTTAATTACTGTAATAAGATTTCCCACCCTCAACAGTTACAGTGGGGATTAAGCTTCAGTGAGGTGGGGGGGAGGGGGGTGCATCCAGCCTACAGCACCTATGTTATAAAGCTTCCATAAACACCCAAAAGGACAAGGTTCAGGGAACTTCCAGACAGATGAACCATGGATGTGCCTGGAGGGTGGTGCACCTGGAGAGGACACAAAAGCTCCTCATCTCTTCTCCCATACCTCACCCTATGCATCTCTTCCATCTGGTGTTCATCCGTATCCTTTGTAAAATCCTTTGTAATAAATGGGCAAACATTAAGTAAAGTGTTTCCCTGAGTTCTGTGAGCTGCTCTAGCAAATTAATCAAACCTGAGGAGGAAGTTCTGGAAACTCTGATTTACAGCCACTTGGTCATAAGCACAGGTCACAATCTAGGCTTGTGATTGGCATCTGAAGCGGGAGCAGTCCTGTGGAACCGAGCCCTTAAACTGCTAGATCAGACACTCTCCAGGTAGTGTCAGAACTGAATTTCATTGTAGGACATCCAGCTGGTGTCTGCTGGAGAATTATTTGGTGTGTGGGGAAAAACCACCACCCATGTGGTGTCAGAAATATTGTATTCAGTTGGGTTTGAGAGTAGAGAGAAAAACCAGGGGTTTTTTCCTTCACACTGTTGGAGCCAGGACTTGAACTCCGGGAATCTGACTCCAGGGACCAAAGTCATAACCATTGTACTATGCNCCAGGACTTGAACTCCGGGAATCTGACTCCAGGGACCAAAGTCATAACCATTGTACTATGCTACCTCTACATTGCAGGATTTGTCATGTACTGTAGAAGAATTTGGCTATTCTACCTTAGCTTACTGGGCAATTATTTTAAATGTGTCAGGGTACTAAATATGGCAGCATCAATTGATTAAAAAGTAAATGTCTCATCTATGTACTTAAGACATTTGGATAAAAATTTGTCCATCTATTTATCCAAAATGGCACAAACATCACAGAAAAAGGATATTGATAGTTTCATCAAGGTCCTCTAGATCCCACTCTATGCTCCGGAGGTTGTTTCTCAGCTCGTTGGTGGTCCAGTCGATTTCTTCCCTTGTTGCTGTGGAGGGGTCCTGGAGGAGCTCTGTCCATCTCTGAAACAACCCCTGGGCAGTGTTGACTGCTTTCTGTACCTCCCTGCAATCAAGGTGAAAGAAAAGGAGAGAAATCACAGATAGCATATCCCATGAACAAGTTACTGCAGGACTTCAGTTAACATGTACAATCATATACTATTCTCAGTAACCACCATCCCCATAGAAGGAGGCTCCTTCATGGACAAATATCAAGTTCAAAACTTTAAATACACAGTCTGAGTATTATGTTCTCAGCTGATGCTCAGAGTAGAATAGCCATTATTTAAGTAGCCATAATATCAAGTTTGAGAAGGACAATTTTTTCTCTGAACATACTTGAAAGTAGTATAAAGAATAAATCCTAAAAATTAACTAAAGGGCCATTAACATTCCCAGGTTTCCACTTAGCATGACAGTAATTTACATTCACATGAAAAAGTACTAATACAGCCTTTCCTTCTGGGGGATGGAGGAGTGGGAAGTGTGGAGGGAGAGTTACTCTTATCAGCTATTGTTTTATAGGTTAAGTATTTTAGTCTGAGACATTTTATTATTATTATTATTTTTATATTTATTTATGTATTTTTGGTGGCTGGCAGGTATGGGGAACTGAACCCGTGACCTTGGCGTTACAAGGCTGTGCTCTAGTCAACTGAGCTAACCGGCAGCTCCCTAATCTGAGACATTTTAAAACCCAAAATCTCATTAGAAGATTTCCAAACATTATTAGCTTTAAATATATCTACTTTCCTGGATTACGCAATGCTGTATAACAGATTAATGTTTTCTTTGTTTAGAAAATGAGGCTAGGCCATTAAGTGCTATGATCTAGCATGCTTTTAGATTAGATATAGTCACAAGGTTTAAAGAACTTTTTCCCCCACCCCTGGGCCAATATCTACCATTTAAATGTTATAATCTAACACTACTGCATATAAAAGCCAAAATGCAGTTGTTTTATAATCATATGGTATCTCATGTACAAACATAATAACCCCACTGCTCCCAAACTAAGAGAACTGCTTTGATCCTTCTATGATTTCTTAATTCTTCTGGAACAGGCAGCACAAAAATGTATTCTAGCTGATCAGGGTAGGGTGTTTGTTGTGTATGGCTTTAAGACAGAAATTGCATGCATCCTGTCCACTCTGACATTTCAAGCACCAGAAGAGTAAACAGAAAGCACTAACAAAAATGTAGAAAAGTGCTTTACAATAAATATTTAGGTTTACGGGCACACTGGTGAGAACTAAATGGTTCAATGTTAGACAGTATAGCTACTGGGCCCAGAATGAATAAATCAGTGAGCTATATGGCCAACAAGAAATCTACCAAGGTCTATTCACATCTGGTTTATGGTTAGGCAAGTCCTCTCATTGCTCCTCTCATGTCTGCCTTTAGACATTCAGTGCTAATGAGAAACGACTTAAGATAACAAGGAAGAATTAAGTAAATGAGATGTAAATCCACAATCTTTACTCTTTATGGTCTTTTTGGTTTCTGGTTGATCTGGCGGAGTAAGAGGTATACATCTTCTTGTATGTGAGATACTTGGTTTATTTGTAAGTGTTGAGTATCATCTGTGATAATGGAAGACAGAGTTAAAGAGGTATCTATAAAGCCATCTCATTTTAAAGAATGTTAATATTTATCAATTCTGTAAAGTAAATACAAATTCCTTTTTGAGAACTAGAAGCCTCAAACCAAGAAGTCTTGGGCTAGGACATGCCATGCTCTCCACCACCAGTACACAATTATGATGCTGGAATTAAATTCTAAGTAGCAATCCATAAACTTTTTTGGTCTCAGGACTCCTTTGCACTCTTCAAAGTTATTGAAGATCCCAAAGAACTTAGACTAATGTGGGCTATCTCTACTGCTATTTACTGTATTAGATATTCAAATAGACATCTAAAAAATATCTACCAATTGATTTTTTAAAAACCTTACATGTTAACAATGTTTTTATAAAAAATAATTTCTAAAATGAAAGGAATCTATATTCTTCCTTATGAGGTGAAGAATAGAACTAGAAATCATTTATCCAAGATTCAATATTTGATTCTGTTTTATAACATTTCATGTAAAAGCATAAAATGGCAAATTGGCTTTGTAGAGAGGTAATGTGATATACTGAAATGAACTATGGAACAAGAACTGAAATTAAGAAACGTGTGCTCTGGGTTTCTTCTCCTATTCATTCATCCATCTATTTATTCAACAAATATTTATTGAATACCTTGATATATACCAGTCACTATCCTAGGTGATACAATAGTAAACAAAACAGAAATCATCTATCTCTTTTACTGCTCTTGTGTCAGTATAGAAGAGATTAACAAATTAGCAAATAAATATACAACATGCTAGATAGTGATAAATGCTAAGAAAATTGCAAATT